TTGGCTTTTGTGTAACTTTCATTCTCAGCATTCTTTACACTGACTGTTCTACACAATCTCCTTGTATCTATCTAGTAATTATCTGACTTTCTGGGCTGGAGCTCATGGGACCTTGGAGTCTGCACGCTGCACCTGAAGTGCATACATGCTGAGTAAAACGTCTGCTGCTGCAGCCATCTGTACCATCTAGTGGTGATCATATCAGACGCCATATACTGTTGGCCCAAATAATGCTTTAGTGGTAGCTGGTGATCTTTAGTGCTGACCTACTATAGGTACCCAGGTTGCATTGAGGATTTATCTAACTGCCTGTTGTGTCTATGGGATAGGAATAAAAAAAAAAACTGACATGGAGTTTAACCATTCCCTACTCTGTTCAAAATGGAAATAAAAATTGTGCTTTAGATATACTTTAATTGTTCCACATATATTAATTTCAGCATTCTTTATTTCCAATTCATCCTTTTAAAAAAAAAAAAAAAGAGCCACAAAAAAAAAATCAGAACTGCACTGAAATTTTTTTAGGGAGAGCTGGTATGGCAAATTATTGTAGAAGACATGTACACTTCATAGTCCGCTTGCACTGTATTACTGAATGGAAACACCTACTCATTTCAGATTTATTATTCCCTTTCATTTGTCAAAATGCAATTATCAGTATTAGGAATGTCTGCTGAAATCATCCATTCATCTATTATACCCCTATAATTTCTAACATTAAAATATTTTCCAGTCAAAAAGAATAAAGGAAATGACAATATACTTTAGGAACCTGAGCCCTGTAATTTAACAACTGCTCCTGAGCCAGCACTGGATGCTTCATGTGTGTTATTCTTTAATTCACGGTGACTATGCAGCTGGGAATGTACTTAAGAGCTTGTCAGGTTTTTCAATACCATAGACTGAAAAATGTATAAAATATATCCTTATGCATACAATATAAAAGAATAGGCTGTGTGATTTATGATTCATTCAATAGATGCTAACAATAGCTTGTTTGGCAACTACTGTTCAGAAATTACATAAATTAAAGAACAATGATGGTGTAAAATCAATACATTCAGAAACTGCTACTAACATTACTAGACACTTAGCTGGTTTTAGTAATGTAGGCAAGCTACATGAGAGGGCTTTCTATACTGACCATATGAATAGGCTGTGATGTAGTCAAGTCACAGCTTACTAATAAAGGTCAGCTAAGTAACTGCTTTTCATTTTCCTTTGGTTCTATTTCACCTCTATTGCAGCAAAAATGTTTGAGAATGGTTCATAAACAGTGAAAATTAAAAGTTGTGATGTCAGAGTGAAGTGAAAAAGTAGAAAGGCTGGTGACAAAAATAAATGTGCCAAAAGGAAAATAGAGATAACAATTCTTTGGCTTTCCTCCATTAAAATGTACAGTTTACATCTGACTTAAAGTGGCATAAAGTGTCTGTAAAATTTCTGGTAAAAAAGATGTAGCAACGTTTTCATAAACCGTTAAATTGATCCTAACAGACTGAGGACTCTTTCTGATTGCCTGTATACAAGCTCACAGCAGAGAATATTTGCTGCAGTAAGGTCCCTTTTAGGGACTGTCAGTTCCAATCTTAAGGTGGAGGAAAAAACTGAACTTACTGGACCCATGTTAAGTCTATAGGGAGTTGAATGTAAGTGGACATGTGTCCTTTTACACCAGGTTACCCCTGGTCCATCACGATCGGGTCAGCAAAACGGAACTCTAGACGGAGTCAGGGGTAATCAGATGTAAACGGACACATGTCCATTTAAATCCAGCTGCCCATAGATTGGCTTTGGACTTGATCAGACCTTGATCAGACCAGACCTGAAAAAACA